GTACTTACCAGCTCAGAGTTGGCTGCAGCTCCCTGCTGCAACCACCAGGGTCTGTCCCAATCTTTTCCAAAGATTCAGAAAGCTTTGAATCGATTCGGACCTTGAAATTGGTCCCCTGATTCGATTTGGATTTGGAGATTCGGCCACCAAATCAGGCTGAAGCTCCTCCAAATCGAATCATCCCCCAAAGCTTCGCACAGCCCTAATATCCCGGCCACAGAATTAACGTACCCAGAGAGTTTGAAAGCACTGGTAAGGGGTACCTTCAAAGCAGCTTCATTGCCCCATTCTTGGTTGTGGCACACATGGAGCAGGTCCATGATGGCAGCACACTCAGGAGTGCCACAGAAGCAGTATAGATATAAGTACTGAGCTTGAAGCGACAAAATCATTCCTGCCTTGAAAATGTAAAGCTGCGGCCAACATTCGACTCATCTGCTGCAACCAGATTGCATTTCCCCACCCCACCCCACTCACAAAAATAGGACAAACCTGTTTTGGGGAGAAAAGAGGTAGATAGACCAATCCTCCCGTAACTCACACCAGTCTGGCTTGTAGACCTCTATCATCTTCCGGATGCGGAAACACAGGGTCTGTGGGACAAAGGGTAGTGGATGTCATTGGCCACTTCCTTGCACCTTTCAGAGGTGTGCTCTTTTTCTTTAAGTCTAAAATACCAGTAGCTGGAGGTCTCTAGATCTGCTGTCTCCTCAAATCCCCCTCTTTCTAGCCTTCTCAAGAGGAGGGAAACTAAGTAAACATCACAGCCATGGGGGGATGATAGGGTGGGCAGAGCATTCACTGAGTGAGCATTCTCTGACAGGTGTTTGCTTCCCTCCAAAGAAAGAAAAGCCTCAGTATTCATCCCTGGTTCTTTAGGCCTGAAACTAATGATGTGTGAAATGTTAACCACTGACTCTTCCCAGTGACACTGTGCAGGAAAATTGCCCAAGGACCTCAGCTGAAGTAGACGCAGAGATTTAGGTCCCTGACCCACTCAATGGGTCAAAGGGAAGATGGCATCCATTGACACCTTTGTTTTTACGTGAAGTACTAATGATTTTATTTTATACAGTGAATATTTCTGTTACAATCTCTACTGACCCCAACCCCATTTGCACACCCCAGTACTGTCTGCTTAGTGTGGGCACTCAAACCTTGGGGTCTGGGCAGTAAGGGCTGTTGTGATCTCCTTATGCTTCAGCTATGAACAGACCTCAGACCAGCTTACAGGGTATTGCATGCTCTAATTTGTGTGACTTGGACACTAAAACCTCCTAGGTGAGCACAACTCACTCTCTTATCTCTTATGGTTGCTCTGCCCCTTTAAACCCTTGGTGCTTTTTTTGTCAAATCCCCCCGCACTCACACAGCCTGTCTCCTCCTAGTGCCCAGCACTCACGTAGTCTATCTCCTCCTCTTCCTCTCCACGGTCCTTGCGGTTGTTCATCTTTGGGAAGATCTCCTTAGCAATATCAGGCATTTTGCCATTGCAGTCCTGATGTTCAGTGGTTCCCGATGTTACACCAACCTTCCGGGTTGCTCTGTGACTGGATGGGACTGATGCCAGCTCCACCAGATCACAGGAGCCTTTGGTGTCCAGGGAAAGTGTTCGCCGGTGGTGAGGGGCCCTTCCCATCCCAGCTCGCTCCCCATCTGCTGTCCTGTGCCTTTCCCCAGATAACAGAGATTCATGCTCAGCTGATGGAGGTTTGTGTTTTAGGCTGTGTCCCCGAGCCAGGCTATTCCAGCTGGAGCGGCGGCTTCCCCAGGCCCCACTGCGACCCCATGCACCATAGTGAGAACTTCGAGAGCTAGACTGTAAAAGATTGAGACAAGGGATTCAATGAGTCAAGCCACAGGGTTTTAGCTTATTAGAGCAAAGGCTCACCTGTGAGCTCCCTTATATCTCCCAACAGGGTATAATTCTGTCCTCTTGTTTCAGCAGAGGCATTTTGTGAACTTCTGTAAATTTAATATCTATTATTACTACTACTCCTGCTAGTATTGTTACTAATATTATATAGCACTGGCTGCATGCCAGGCATTTTACCAATTAGATACATAAGAAAGCAGAGGATCAGTCATTCTTGTTTTGTGTAGTCATTCGCACCATTGAATAGTGGACGGAACAACTGACAAAATAAGGGGGTAGGGTTTCATGGTTGCTTTGCACAAGGCGCAGAGAGAAGGGCAATCTGATTCTCTAATCTTAGTTTATAATCTAAATGTGAGAAGGTAGGAAGAGAAAGGGGCTGGTTGGTCTCAGCTCACTGCAGCAGCAAGTCAGCACAAAATGTCACCATCAGGCATCACTGTACAGGATAACCAACAGACAGGAGTAGAAGGGTATGCTGTGTAAGGGGCGGAAGGGCACCACTAGAGCTGTGTGTGTTGGTGGAGCAGAGTGCCTGTGGCTGTTGTGCTGGACTGGAGCAAGGAGCGATGGCAGAATTGTCAATGGTGCTTTGGGGGCAGCAGTAAAGAGAGGTGGCTGCAGACTACAAGAGGAAAGGCTGCTACGAATCAAGGATTAGATTTTCCCCTGAACTAGGAAAACCTCACTAGCTGGAGGACCTGATCGTTCTGATACTACCTGCCAGCCTTTCCTAGTGTCTGGAAAGCACTCTACTAGTTTTTCTTCCATCCAGGGGCAGGGCACAATGATTTCACACTCTGTGCTTGAGAACTACTGTGGAGGACTAACAGGTCAAAGAACATTTCACTCAAGAGGAGACTCAAGAGGAGAAAACAAAAGGGACTGAAACCTACAAGAAGCCACAGTGATAATATGGAAATTGATATTAAAAGGATTGATAATATGGAAATTATGACTGCTTCAGGCAAAAAGAAGATGGGCAACAAGCTTCTGTTAGAGCATCTCTAGTGGCAGTACAACCACCCATGGCAATTCCAAAGTGGCAGCACTAATGTAATGAAGAAATGTATTGCTAGTTGTTCTACTCACTCACCAGTGACCTCTGGTCATAGGTCACTCTCCCCAGTGACATCACACTGCTCTTCCTGGACCCAACAGCAACGAGGACTTGGTCTGGCTGCAAAGAGTGCCGGGATGAATTTGTGACAGCAGCAGATACCACTGGCTGGTTGGAAGAAGGCAGGGAGGGGTCAAGATGTCCATTTGGTGTCACGGGAATTGCACAAAGCTTGGGATCTGGGCAGAGCACAAACAGAGAAAGAAAGAGAAAGGGACATTTCTTTCTCTTCCAGGGTTTCTTCCTCACTGTTCAGTGAGCGTCTGAATGCTCTGGTTGGAAAGCTCTATTAAAACCCAGTATTGCTTCCTGGATTGTGTGCAAGGGTGGTCCAGACAGTGATAGATTTAAAGTAATCATCTCTCTGAATACAGAATGTACTGATCTCCCAGAATCCTTTAAATCCTTTCAACAGCAACGAGTCTAATAGGGGGGACAAAGTGTGGGGAGAAATAAATGCAATTAACACAGCTTGTCTTCCTCTCTAGCCATCCTCTGACACATTCTCCTTTCCTGTCCCTTCTCCCTACCTCCTTGGTCCATCCTGGCAGCAGTCCCTTTCCTCTTGCTCTGGAGTCAGGAAGGGAGTTTGCTCAAATCCTGAAGTGACACAGCAGCTTCCAAATTGCTGGGTCTGTTTGTCCCACCTTCTCCCACTGCCCCTCATGTGATAGAGCAGGCAGCCTTCCTACAAGAGGAGCACTGCCTGGGGCCTAGCAGAGCTTTCCTTGCACACACACCCTGCCAGGCAAAAAAGGGGGCAGACCTTTGGCAGCTTGTAAGCAGACAATGATCCCACCTGTTCAAACAAGAGTAGTGATTTCCCACAGCTTTCATCATCTGAAACAACAGTACCACCTGTCTGACTGGCAGCTACTCATTATTTTGGGCATGTTTCCCATTTTCTTCACATCAGCTTGTCAGCTTGAGAAACCAAGAGATAGACCGAGACTCAGCAAGGCCTACATCCACCAGTACTCTGGGGGCTCCTCTAGACTCCTTTATCCACCTCCAGATTTCAATTAACATTATGTTGTGAGTTCTTACTGGCACCCTTAAAACATTGCTTATGCATCCCAAGGATCCAGGGAACTTGTTTTAATTTGCTCCTTGGGTGGGCCAGAGAGAAGCATCTACATTTCAATAGAGGTGAGTTTAGGTGGCATGGCGGGGTGGGGAGAGGAAACCAAAATATTCTCAGTGTTTTGAAATGTTACCCTTGGTGATTAAAATAATAGAGTTTGAAGCCAGAAATGATCCGTCAGGCTATCTAGCCTGGCCTTCAGCACAGCACAAGCCACAGAACCTCACCCATAGATGCTCATAACTGATGTTTGAGGTATGGCTCATCTTTTTTAAATGTCACTTCATTTTTGTAGCTCCTGTCTGGATTCCTTCTAACTCACCACCATCCTTTTTTTCAGCATGGACACAGGACTGGACACTGGACTTTTCCAGTAACAGTATCACTAATGCTGTACACAGAGGCAGTCCTACCTTCCTTCTCCTACTTGATATTCCCATGTTTGGGCTTCCAAAGATTGCATTTCCCTCCTCAGCAACAGCATTCCTTAATATGTTGCCAGGACTCTTATTTTTGCAGGTAACACTATAAGTTGGTAACGAGTTCAAAACCACCAAAATACTAAATGACAAAAAGAAACTAAACAGGAATTTATTATTTACTCTCTCTCACAATATAAGAACTAGAAGTCATAAAATAAAACTAGCTGGTAGTCTGTTTAAAACTAATAAAGGGAAGTTTTTTTTCACATAGTGTGTAACTAACTCATTGCCACAAGACGTTGAGAAAGCTGACAGTTTAGCTAGGTTCACAAAGGGACTGGGCAAATTCTTGGAGGAAAGAGGCATCAGTAACTATTGGGCTTGTGAGTTAGGGGTACAGCCTCTGAATCTGAACTTCCTAGGTTAAGTACAGGCAGTCAAAAAGCCCGAGGCTGAATTGATTCAGTCTTTGCAGGTTACTGTAAGCTGCAGAGATTAAACCGAGAAGTGCTTGAACAGACATTTACTTTTGTTTCAGGGAATGTAGCCACATGTCTGCAGTGGCTCAGGCCAGAAGCTGGAGGGCACTAGACCATGTCTCCCAGCCTGCCAGCTGCTGCCAAAGAGAAGGGACTGAAGTTCTAAGGCTTCCCCCTCCCCACACTGGAGCAGAGGGGGCATGGCCAGGCCCCAGCCTGGGGCTAGCATGCTGGAGGGTGGGAGTTAAAATCCCCTCCCTGACCCACATGGGACCCTAGCCTGGGTCTGCCTGAGCAGGGGGCAGTGCCTGCCAGGCTGAGGAGGGGGTGGGTGGAGAAAAAGGTAGTGGCACTGAATTCATAAAAGCTTGAACAAGAATAGCTCTTTCTTTGAAGTGAGCATGTATTGAACACATCAATTTGCCACATCAAGCACACAATAAACAACCACCAAAAATCTTCACCTAAGCTAAGATACAGCAAAGTAAGGCACAGTGAGAGCACATACAACTTAGTCTAACTTAAAATGGAATGCAATAAACCAAAAAGACAAGAGGAAGCCTTGCATAAGTCTTATGTAATCCTGAGGGCAGAGTATCTCCTTACAGCCAGGTACTCAAAAAATCCTTCTTGGGGAATCAGCAGGTGGTCTTAGGTACTGGAATGGAAATCCCACAGCCTCATCTCTACTTGGGTTTTTATAGGCACACTTACACTCCCCCTTGGGTGCCTTAATATTAGTATGCTTAGTATGCTTGTCACCTGTGGCACCTTTGGCAGGACTCTTGTGCATTCAGTGTCTTTTGCCTCTGCATAGGCCATCCAGTTTCCCACCTTTTACAGGTTCTGCTTTATAATGTAAATGTAGGTCTTTGCTTTCTTTGGTCACACTGGCCCAAGCAGTCTGGGACCCTCTCCTGTTCCCTTAGCTCCATCTCTAGCACATACATGCAATGATTGTGCCAGGTCTTTGCTAACACCTCCCACCTCTCAGTCTGGTCCAGCAAGGCTTGGCCCTCTGCTCACAGGTGGCAGAGGATCAGTCCCTCCAGCCCTGGCTCCTTCTCTTCCCCATGGCCTGGGGAAGCTGAGGGGAATTACATACATCCTGTCCCTCTCCCCTTATCAACTGTTTGCCTCAGTCTTCCAGAGGTGGGAAGGGGTAGAGTCTGCTGGTCTCCTGCCAGCCCCCTGCCAAGCAGATCCCAGATCAGGTCCCATGCTGGGGGGAGAGGCGATTTAAACCCCACTCCCTCCCCTCCACCTGATCCTGCCTACCCCCGCCCCCACCCCCTTCACTCCAGCTGGGAAGTCTGGCAGGTGCTCTCCCCAACCACCCATAGACTCAGCTGCAGTCCCCAGCTGGATTTCTCCCCACACACCACCTTGTCAGCCATCCCTCACTGCTCTGACTAGCAGACAGCACAGTCCAGCCTAGAGCTGCAAAGCATCTTGGGATGCTGGAGGACTGTGATTTAACTTGAACCAGGGAGGGGTCTGGGACAGAAATTTCATAAACTGGTTTGACTTAAATCAGTTAAGTCTGATATTACATTCAACCAGCTGTATCTTAAAACAGTTTCAGCAATTTTGAAACTGGTTTATGTGCACTGAACTTCTGTTCTGTTACAGGTATAAACCATTTTCTGATCACTTCAACTGGTTTATGTGTAACTTATGTCCCTAGCCCTAGACTGTAAATGTTGGAGGCAGCAAGTGGGAGAGGCACAGCAGAAAAAACCTTGGTCATACTCTGCGCACTCTCCCTTTCAGTATCCACTCTCTGCCACTGTGTAACAGAATATAGGGCAAGATGGACCTACAATCTGACCCAGTAAATGGCAGTTCTTATGTTCTTAATCAAACAAACAAGCAAGAAAACAAAGACTTGCGTAACTGCATTGTCATGAAAATGCTTTAGCCAAGACCAGCATTACAGTTTTGCCTTACGCAGAGAAGAGAGTTTTCAGGGCTGGGGAGGTTTCTGCGTGTTCACATCTTTCACCCAGATGCTGGTGGGATTTGAACAAATCAGCCCAGAGGATCCACTTACCAGAGCCATCCTGGACATCCTGGAACCTGTCAAGCTCCTCCACATTGGATGAGCTCTGCTCTTCATCTGAGTATGATCGGTTGGCATCACCCTGGAATGGAAAAATGAAAACAAAGATCTGGGATTCAGAGGCATCTGGGGGGCAAAGAATTCTGTTCATTCTGGTCATCCATTACCATGGGTGATAGGGATGCCAGATCTCACCATGATCAATGGCAGAACTCATATAGTTGCACTGTTGGCCCATGGAGAGGGAAGAAGTCATCCCCTCAGGGTAGTATGCAGAGTAGAAATTGTGAGCTCCCTCCTTCACTTAAGTGGGTTTGACACCCCCATGAAAGGGTTAAATAGGTTTTTTAACCCACCCTGACCATGTGGAAGGAACCAACTTCAATGCAATACCTTAGGATCTCCTGCCATTCCTTTCATACCATTTCCCACATCTGGCTTTCGAATCTGCATCCTCCCTCCTCCAAGAAGTGGCAGTGGCAACTCACCTCAGCCTGGAAGCCCTCCACCAGGATAGCCACCAGAAGATTGAAAAGGACATAATTGCCAAAGGTCATGAGGGCTACAAAGTAAAGGGATGCCCAAGGTGAGGTAGATGCCATCCCATTATAGAGCACAACATTCCAGTCCTCCTGGGTTAGGATCTGCAACATAGAAGAGAAGGCACCTAAGCCCACCAGAGCAAAGCAAGAGTGAAGGGGATAAACGTAAGTGGGCAGAGAGAGGAAAATGATCTGATCACTACATACCCCCATCTTCTTCCCTCATCCCAATGACTGCCAGGATCCCCACCAGCAGTGTGCGCTGTCCAGCTGTCATGCTGTCTTTGTGGCATTACCTCAGGTGACCCCAAGTGAACAGGGAGAGATGCACACAAACATAGCGCATGTGCTGAAGCATTAAATAGAGAAGTTGCTACAACACAGAATTGATCTTTGCAAGCTGTCCATCTCCCCATTCTCTCACTGCTCCTTGAAGGATAGAGCCCCTCTGCCTGAGAGATGTCAGATTACCAGATGTGTCTGTCCCTCTTCTCTCAGCTTTGCATACTGGAGTCTCAAATGTAGCTTTTTGTGTCATTGTGAGTGAGGGCAGGATTCACTAGTACAAACCTCCTCCTACTTCTGTTCAATTTGAGGTTGCCTCTTTGATCCCATCATGGGTCTAGCCATCCCACAGCAGGCAGCATTGACTCACCTGGAACACAGTGACTATGGCCCAGAGCAGGGAGTCAAAATTCTTCCGGTCAGGGACTGTATCTCCAGTGTCTGTCTTGAGGCTGAATTTGCACCCAAAGATGTGCATTCCCAGGATGCTGTTGGGTAGGGCAAAAAAGATAGTGTCCAATTAAAGTATCTCTGCTACCAAAGTGAGTTTGTTAGAGTACTTCCCCTTCTAATCCAAATGACTGATCATTGTCACCAGAGTAAGAGATATAAGAATGCAAAGAGCCCATGGAGATCTGCCCAAGAGGGGGCAAATCTTTGAATGGCCTATATCTCTTCATGCAGTTTCCCCTCTCCCTGCACCCCCCAGTTTCTGATGAATCTACCTCTCTTGTTCCATTTCCCCCTCCCTTAACCCCCTTCCAGTTTTTCTGTATGGAGTACTCAGAGTTCAGGCAGCTCCTCCACATCACACCACACTTCTACAGCAGTTAGTGAAAGGGTCAAGCTATTTCCTACAGCAAATGAAGTGTGGCTAACAGCATTCACCCTTTCAATTAAACACTGAGATCAGGATACTGCTTCTCTACACACAGTCCCAGCCTACTCTCTGTAAATATCTAAAGGCCAGATCCTCCATGGAGGAAAACTGTACTCCAGCTGAGGATTTGGCTCAGATATAATAATAGCATTCCCTCTTGCCACCTTAATGATAGAAATGGGCAGGATGAATCAGACCCACATTGGTACCACACTTAACATATGGAATGCCTTCTCAAACTGCTATGAAGCCCCTAACTCCTCACCTGAATATGAAGATGAAAAGCATGAGAAGCATGCAGAAGGTGGCCACATTGTCCATGGTCTTCATCAGCACCACCAGCTGGCGCCGTAGGGCAGGCATGAAACGCACCAGCTTCAACACACGCAAAAGACGGAACGTCCTTAGCACCGATAGGCCCCCATCTGACTGACCAATGATTTCCCAGATGCTGTGGCCCAGAGACAGTGAAGGAGATTTTAACCGGGGTGGGGGGGAGGGGGAGGAAAGGGAAAATAGAAAAACAAGATAGAGATAACTGAGAGAGAGAAATAGCAACATTAATCTGAGTTATTACCATTTCCTGAGTGGACTGCATATTTGCATGAGAGAGAAAGAAAATATTTCTATGTTATTTGCATGTGTGCATGTCTGGATCAGGGGTGTGCGTATACACTGTATACTGCACGTGTATGTTCTCATGCATGTGTGTATGTTTAATACTGCACTTCTCACAAAGGAAAATTAAACTGCTGTACAAGCTACTCAGGAATGAATAAATGCCGCATCACAAAGACGTGATGTGAAAGTTCCTTTATTAAAAAAAAAAAGAAAAAAAAAACTTCTACAGCATCTTTTCTCTAAGCATGTCAAAATATTTTGTCAATTTATTAAGCCTCTCAAACTCATGAGAGAGTGGAGTATTACCATTTCCATTTTACCTAGGGGGAAACCAAGGGTCCGAAAAATTATGTGGTTCGCCCAGGGTCACCCAGTGAGTCAATGGCAGAGTGGGGAATAACATTCAGATCTTCTGTTTCTTTGTCTTGTGCAATAACAAGGCTTCTCCCCATATTTTAGCTCATGAAAAGTACTGGTGTTGCACAGTGGCATTGTTTCAACACTGATCTGCCTTGCTGTATGTGTACCTACGGGTGGAAACAGACATTACCCTTTGTCACTTTTGTGCCACCATAACAATTTTTATGGTGGCACAAAGGCCAAGCAAATAGATGTCCATACCTTGTTGTGCCACAAATGCCCAAAATTTGTGGCTGTGACAAAGGTGTTCTTAATTTGTGCAACTATGTAGTGGTGGACATCTGTTTGCTTTATGGTGGAAGAGCATGGGCAGCTCTGGGCTCCCCATGATCTCCAGCCACCCTGGGGGCTTGCAGGGTTTGATCCTGAGCACCCTGCGGATTCCAATGCAGGATCAGGCCCCTCAAGCCCTGGGAGCACAGGCCCAGCTTTGACCTCAAAGAGACATGCCCCAGGCAATCTTGGGGCACTTCCCCGTAAGCAGGGAAAGCTGGGGTTTCCCTATTTACAGAGATGCGCCCTGGAGATTCCTGGGGGTGTCTCTATAAAGGGGAAAGTTGGGCTGGCACTCCAGGAGCTTGAGGGGCTGAGTCCTGCACAGGAATTCCTGAGACACACAGGACTGGGTCCCTCATACCCCAGGAAAACAAGTTGCCTGTTGTCCTGGAGCATCAATGGTAGGGGAGGGGACAGGTGGGACAATGGGTGGCATGTGTTTCACCCACTGAAATGGATCAGCTGTGCTGGGGGACATCCCAGCACAGCTAATTCATTTTATTTGGCAACATTTATTTCTAGCCTCAGTCTAATTCCAGTGTGGCTTCCCTGCTCTGACCTCCTCACCTGATGATGACAATGATGCTGTCAAAGATGTTGTAGGGATTGCGGAGGTAATCGAAGAGCCCAAAGGCGGTGAGTTTCAGAATCATCTCCAGGGCAAACATGCTGGTGAACACAACATTGCTGATCTCCAAAATGTTTGTCAGCTCTTCTGGCTGCATTAAAAGGCAAAGCCAAGGAATCAGAATTGGCGGAGACCTGAAGCCATCGCATCAGAACCAATGGATACCATTCTCATGGGACAGATGGCTCCACATGGAGGGGTGCCATAGGGTGATATGAATATAGGGCTGGAAGGGACTTCATGAAGTCATCTAGTCCAGCCCCTTGCTCAAGGCAGGATCAACTCTGACTAAACCATCCCAACCTGCTCTTGAAGATTTCCAGGGATAGAAATTCCATAACTTCTCTACGTACCTGTTCCAATGCTTGACCACACTCACAGTCAGAAAGTCCCATCTAATCTCCAACCTAAATTTACTCTGTTGCAGCTTGAGGCTATTGCTCATAGTCCTGTCCCCTACAGTCACAGAGAACAGCCCATGCCCATCCTCTCTATAATCACCCTTCAGGTCTTTGAGAATTGCTATCCAGTCCCCCCTCATTCTTCCCTTCTCCAAACTAAATAACCCAAGTACTTTCACCCTTTCATAGATTTCATAGATGTTTGGGTCGGAAGGGACCTTAGTACATCAACAAGTCCGACCCCCTGCCCTGGCAGGAAAGAGTGCTAGAGTCAGAGGACCCTAGCTAGGTGCTGGTCTAGTCTCCTCTTAAAGACCTCCAAGGTAGAAGAGAGCACCACCTCCCTTGGAAGCTCATTCCAGATTTTAGCAACCCTCACCATAAAGAAACTTTCCCTAATGTCTGATCTAAATCTGCTCCCTGTCAGTTTATGGCCATTGTTCTTAGTAATCCCAAGGGGTGCCCTGCTAAATAGAGTGTCCCTTATTTCTTGCTGCCCCTCCAATGAATTTGTAGACAGCTACTAGATCCCCTCTCAGCCTTCTTTTGTGGAGACTGAAGAGACACATGTCCTTCAATCTCTCCTAGTAGGATCTAACCTGTAGGCCCACAACCATATGAATTGCTCTCCTCTGAACCCTCTCAAGGTTATCCACATCCCTCTTGAAGTGCAGTCCCCAGAACTGGACACAGTACTCCAGCTGCAGTCTTACCAATGCTGCAGAGAAGTATCACCTCCTTATACCTGCTCATGATGCACCTTCTAATGCATGAAAGAGTGCAGTTGGCTTTACTTATCACTTCATCACATTGACAACTCATGTTCATATTGGAGTCAACTATGACACTGAGATCCCTTTCTGCTGCTGTGCTGCTTAGAAAGTCATCTCACAGCCTGTAGGTGTGCTGATGATTCTTTCTCCATAGATGTAGCACTTTGCACTTATCCTTGCTAAACTGCATCTTATTCTGTTCTGCCCACACTGTCCAAATCCACCTGAATCCACTCCCTGCCCTCCATCGTGTTTACTTTGCCCCATAATTTGGTGTCATCCGCTAATTTGGACAAAGTGCTTTCTATGCCCTCAACCACATCACTGATGAAGATATTGAACAGCACTGGTCCAAGGACCGAACCCTAGGGAAGTCCACTGCCCACATTTTTCCAGGTCAAAAATGACCTGTCCACCACCACCCTCTGTGCGTGCCTCATAAGCCAATTCACCACCCACCTGACCATGTAGTAATCTATGCCACAATCGCCTAATTTGCTTATAGGAATGGGATGCGACACTGTACCAAAGGCCTTTTTAAAATCCAAGTAGATGACATCTACCTCAGCTCCTGCATCTAAGCATTTTGTGACCTGGTCATACAAAGAAACAAGGTTAGTCAGGCAGGATCTACCCACTATGAAGCCATGCTGGTTGCCCTTCCTCATTATTTTTCCTACTGGACTCCCACAGATGTGATCCTTAATACTTTTTTCAAAGCTTTTCCCAAGTATAGAGGTGAGGCTAACTGGCCTATAGTTACCCGAATCATCCTTTCTCCCCTTCTTGAAAATAGGTGCCACATTGGCCCTTTTCCAGTCCTCTGGGACCCATCCTGAGCGCCGTGAGTGCTCAAACAACCTCGCCAGTGGTTCTGCAATGACAATGGTCAATTCCTTCAGCACCCTTGGATGAAGATAGCCCATGCCTGCTGGCTTAAACACATCCAGCCCCTCCAAATGCTTCCTCACTAGGTCAGTGCTAACTGCTGGTGGGTCGGAGTCCCTCTTGTGCCTGTTTATAGCCCCTTTGGAAGATGTGTCTTTATCTGTGTTTAGGAATACAGATGCAAAGAACTTGTTTAGGAGCTCAGCTTTGTCTCTCCTATTTGTTACCACTTGCCCTAGTCTGTCCTGTAGGGGTCCTATGTTGCCATGCACCTTCTTTTTAATTCCTATGTACCTAAAGAAGGACTTTTTGTTGTCCTTAATTTTTGTAGCCAGCCTGAGTTCCATTTCTGCTTTAGCCTTCCTAACTGATTCCCTGCAAGTGCAAGCCAAGCAGGTATACTCCTCCATGGTGGCTACCCCCTGCTTCCACAGTTTGGATGCCTCTCTTTTTCTCCCTAGGCTCTCTTGGATTTCCCTGTTTAGCCAAGAGGGTTGCTTGGCTCTTTTGCCTTTAATTGTAAGCCATTCTTCCCAGGGCTCTAATAATTTTTGTTGCTCTGTGCTGGACTCTTTCCAATCTGTTGGGATCCTCCCTGAAGCATGGGACCCAAAACTGAACACAGACACACAGGAGCTGTGACGGATCAAAGAGCTGATCAGGGAGGGTATTGATGGTGTCCTTTTTGTGCTCTTTTTCCTCTTTGAGTTTACAAAGATCTTATCCACAGCAAATTCATCTACACTTAGCTGAGTGATCTGACCCCCTGGCTATTCTGGGATGTGTCTTCTAGACCCTCTCTTGGTGGAGCTGTTCCACTTTGTATAAATAGACATTTGTTAGAGCAAGTAAGTGCCTAGATACCTTGCTACTGGCTAATCTAGGGCCAGACTGTCCCACAACACCTTACAAGGTCTTGGATTCTCTCCAGTGACTAACATTTGTTTGTTTGTTTTAATCCTGTACAATTTCATGGAACAGGAAACTTTTCCATCCAGTTCTCCCTCCTGGCCCTTGGTTTTCTGCCTGCTCTCCTTTCTGTTTCTCCTCTTTTCTTCCTTTCCTTTTTTTTCTCTTTCTCCACCATGCTCCACTTCCCCCTCCCTTCTTCCGCAAGCATTTGTTTGCTGGGCCTGTTCTTGCAACCTCCCTCTTTGCAGTGGTCTAAATAATTACCCAGGGGACCATCCTAGTGCATGAATAACACATCAGCAATGAGGGGTAGCCTGTTAATGTCTAACAAGGGACAGAAAGAGAAGAATGGGTGAGGAATGGAGGAAAAAGGACAGCAAGGAAAAAAGAGAAAACTGGTGAGAATAAGACACAAGGGGAAAATTCCCTTGAAACTGAGTGGAGTAAATGTGTCGCTAAGATAAAAACAACACTCTATCTAGGACATCTGAGCCTAGTGAATCTGTGACTGATGTAATACACTTTCTTCCAGCATTGGGCTGTGGTGTGTGCATGTGTGGTGCACATGAGTAGACAGAGAGTTTTAATGACTCCATCAGCTGAACAAGTCTGAACAAAATTAAATTACTCCTCCTTTTGTTTTCAGTATTAATGGATGCTTCTTTGCCATGTTCAGTTCTTGGATGCCCCTCCAAAAAAATTGGGAAAGGAGCCAGCCGCTTGCTGAGGAATGATGATGTAGCACTTCATAGGTGGATGGGGGCTGTGCTGACATCACTGCTGATGGATGCCAGGTTCTTGTCATCCTCTCTGAAAAATGGAGGGGAAGGACTAACCTACCTGCATGAGAGAACAGTGACTTCCCCTCCCCACCCTATGGCTGAGTTATAACTTAACCCATGTAGTCAGACATTTAGAGAAACATAAATGCTGTCAAAGTAAATGCAAATCTCAAATTTGTCACGCGTGAGTTGAGCAGATGTGATCCACTCACATGAGGGTTACATGTTTGGGGTCTATTTTTCTGTATTATACCCCAGTTTCTCTCTGCTCTAAAGGAGAAGCCACAAATAGAACTGACTGAGTGAGTCCACACCACAGTTTACCCACCAGGGAGCAGTGACATTCACACTGTCTGGTATTTCTATAGGCACACATACACTGGGTAAGACCTGGTGGACTCACATACATCACACGGTCACCTTGCTGCCCCCTTTCTTCAGGTAGGTCTGAGTTATGATACATAAATACCAGGTCGCATTTTTGACATCAGGCACAATAGGAAAGAGGGACACTGCTGGAGCCCCCTGGTGGTGACAACTGGGGGAAGGACATTGTCCTGATAAGCCCGTTGGCAATAGAGAAGGGGACTCCATCCTGGCCTGAGCAATCTTTTCCAGGGAAGCTATCACTGCCCCATGGCACGCAGTGGGGAGATGAGTTATTGACTTACTTTTCTTTTAGAACATGTAAAGGTTCTGGTTACTGTCCTTTGAAAAGGGGAAAAAGTTCCCAGGGGCTGTGCTACCACTTTGTTACAGGAAGCACAGGAACACGGGCAGAGCCTGGGGTTCAAGTTAAAACTCCTAGCCTTCTCCTGGCGATCACACCCAGCCCTGTACCATTCCAGGAAGCAAAAGGAATCTAGGCCTGGCTGTTTCTATTCCAAAACCAGAACAACTGGGTTAGTATCTGCTCCCCAGATCTTTGGCTATCCATGCCTTTTTCTAACTGGGCTTTCATCCAGCTTCTGAAGCAACGCCATCTTTACTCTGAAAAACACTTTCTCAGCACCTGCTACCTTTATCCCTCCTTCCTTGGGATCAAGGATTTGGCTGTGATTTCCTTGCGGGTGGAGGGAGCAGGCAAAACTGCCTAACCCTGCTGCAGAGTTTTATTAAAACTGCCAGTTTCTCTAAAATCAAAATAAAAGGGGAGAAGGCTCAATTTCCATCCATAATTACATTTGAATAACAAAATGGGTCCTCAAAAGGGGTGGGAGAAAGAGAGAGAGAGCGCATGCAGGGAGGAGAGAGATGAAGATAACCACACAGAGAGCCAAGCAGTAATGACACGAGATGGGAACGAGAGACCCATATGCTAAACAGAGACGCTAA